GCAGCGGTTCGTGATCGTGTTCGGGTGCAGTTCCGGGCTGGGCAGAGGAGTCTTTCCACCATTTATAATTACCGAGCGCTTTGGTTTGCCCGGCATGAGTGACCTGTCTTACAAAGGACATGGAAGCAAAACTGAGATTAGTAACGTCAAATTTGTCTGAGACTTAGGCATTCCGACGTATTCAGATTTATCATTATGCTCGGTATTATCATACATTGTCCAGTATTAAATGCTACAGTGCCGGTAACTTCAGACAAGTTCCATTTCACCTTCCGGTACTTGTTTTTGTCATGCATACGGCCAAAGTACCTTCTTTTGTCGCGTCCGTGCAGCTCAACATGTCCGAGAGGCTAGGTACTAAAAGAAATTAAACCACGCATAAGAATAATCTGTGTTTTACACCTGCTGGCTGTGGATGCGTGTGCCTTCTGCCGTCTGCCTTTATGGACTGCAGAGGTGTCGGGTGCGCAGTGCATGAAAGCAGCCCCCGCTGCGTTGTACATCATCCCGAAGTGCAGCTGTAAGTGCCCGTGTCACAACAAGCAAGTGGGGAACTCAGGGCAGCGCTGCACACAGGCTGCCTTTCCTGAGTCGTTCTGCTGCTGGTGGAGGGGGAGTGAAGCTGGACAGGGAGGGGGGGATGATATCGTTGCGTGGAGTTACTTGGAGCGTTGGTGACGAGAGCAGGACAATCCATGCTCAGGCCCTGTAGTTGTGCTGTCTGCCTGCGTCCCTGACAAGTACGGATGCTGCTGCTTCACAGCATACCTAAAAGAAACCCTTGTGTTTAAAAATGAGGGGCGTTTGGGGCTAATAACGCAGTCACTAGAAAACAAAGTCATTTTTAGACTCGATGATCTCTGGTGAAGCTTCTTCACAGGATGATGTATGGCCTGGGAAAGGCCATATTTAATATTTTTCATTATGGTCCTTGGCACAAAAAGTAGGAATATGGTAATGGTGCAGAGCTGAGAGTCCTCATCAGTATAGAGCAGCACACAAGAGAAACTGGATGACCTTGAGAATGGTGCAACAAAAATGGGAAGAAATGTAAAAAATGCAAGCGTGGCGTTGTTGCCTTAGAGTATGGTGTTATTATAGTATTGTACTTGGGGCAAAATACAAAACACCATTTCATACAGCTGTGGCAGAATGTAGATGCTCACATTTAGGGCAGAGATTTGCAGGGTTTTTTTTCCCATGGGCTAGCGTCCCTGACAAGTACGGATGCTGCTGCTTCACAGCATACCTAAAAGAAACCCTTGTGTTTAAAAATGAGGGGCGTTTGGGGCTAATAACGCAGTCACTAGAAAACAAAGTCATTTTTAGACTCGATGATCTCTGGTGAAGCTTCTTCACAGGATGATGTATGGCCTGGGAAAGGCCATATTTAATATTTTTCATTATGGTCCTTGGCACAAAAAGTAGGAATATGGTAATGGTGCAGAGCTGAGAGTCCTCATCAGTATAGAGCAGCACACAAGAGAAACTGGATGACCTTGAGAATGGTGCAACAAAAATGGGAAGAAATGTAAAAAATGCAAGCGTGGCGTTGTTGCCTTAGAGTATGGTGTTATTATAGTATTGTACTTGGGGCAAAATACAAAACACCATTTCATACAGCTGTGGCAGAATGTAGATGCTCACATTTAGGGCAGAGATTTGCAGGGTTTTTTTTCCCATGGGCTGGAAATTGCAGAGAAGAAAAATGCTACAATGGTTCATGCCCAGCCACCTTGGCAGACCCGAGCGCTTCGGTGCTTCTCCTCTGTCCGCGTGGGACTGCAGTCTAGGGGGACGTTCAAGACAGAGGAAGAAAACCGGTTATGTGTCACGGGCTCTGGTTTAACGGTCTGGGACATCCCTTTCTCCCTCAAACGCTCATCTTCTGTTTCCCCTTGTTACTCTGCCCGCTCACGTGCGCTGTCCTGTCCGTTCGTGTATTCACCGTTAAGTCGTACGTGCCCCATAGTTTTGACTTTTTCTTCAAACCTTTCAGGGCGAAGTCTCGTGATAGGGCTGCACGTCGGCGTAAGGCAGACTGGCCCCCCGCACGGGCCGTGCTCCGTCACACGCCCTGGACAAGGGAGGAGAGCACACAGCAGGGAGCACTGAGGGAATCCCAGGGCCCGGAGGAGCCTGTACCCTTCCCGGCTCCCCCTGCCTCTCTGATGCAGTCTGGCACCTTTATGCTCACACGGACATTTACTGAAAACCAAATCTGCCGAGGGCAGAACAACCACCACGAAGCCCAGAATGCACAGTACAGGAATGCTGCTGGCCAGGGGGGTCCTCGCGTGCCGCAGTGAGAAGTAATACACAGCGACGTGTTAGCTGACGAGTAAAATTGATGGGCTCTGTACTTGGCCATTAAAGGCGAAACACGTTTGCAGAGGAAATACGTTTTTTTCTTTTTTTTGTGATGGACAGCTGAGTTATTCTGTTTGTACACACAGAAATGTCTAATAGATAAAGTAACTTTCCGTGACTGGGAGAAAATGAATTTTCAAAAGATATGGAAAGAAAAAAAAGGCAACAGCGTGTCCTCGTTCAGGAGTCTCTGTGCTTGAGCTGCATGGGTTTTGTTTGCAATCTCATCATGAACAAAGCGGCACTGAGTATCTCTTTTAACAACTGGCTGGTATCTGTATTTTTATAGCTTTCTAATACAATGCTTCTAATTATATCCTTAAATTGGAGTATTGTGTTACAAGGCTGTACAAATAAAGCCAACTAATGTATACATAGACTTCAATTTGTTCTAACACTACATTTGTTTTCATAAGGCTGGAGGAATCTTTTCCTAAACCTTATGTCATCCTTTTGCTTAATGGTAAGTCATTACAGAGCCTCAGTGCCAAAAGCTAGCTATCTCCAGTGGTGTTTAAGCCCAGAATTGCTAGTTGGGAAGTTTGCAGTCTTGTGTCCTTTGCCAGTGATATTTGAGAATTAATTATAAAGGATTAAGGAACTCGTTTGCAAACTGTCTCACAGCTGAGGGATGTAATTCCCCCTCCACAGAATTCAGTCCCTGTCCCGTGCTGTAAAACTGAAAAACCCACCCTGTAATAAAGATGCTATATTTTGTTACCGCCCTTCTAAACTGTTACAGAGTTAGGAAATCCCTCTGCACTGCAAGCAGACCATTGCCACTAACCAGCCAGCGTCGAAGGCCACACGGGCCCCAATCAGCCCCACTGGGGACCTCCTGCCCACGCAGCCCCCGCCCCGCCCCGGAGCCCAACCTGAGCTCAGCCTTGGGCCTCGGCTCCTGCTCGCCTGGTTCGGGGGCTGTGCCGGATCAGCGGGAACGCCGCTTGCATTGCAGCTGCTGCTGGCTGCTGGTGCTGTGCAGCTCAGCTCCGAGCCCAGCGCCCCTCGGCAGCGGTCGTGCGAGGGCCCAGGGCGTGCCGAGGAGCTCGCTGCCGTGGTAGGTCATACCTGTCAGCACGTGGAGCAGAAGTTTGGTTGCAAGGCTTAAATGAGATTTGTTTAGCTCCAAACAAAGGATGCTGTGGCTGAAAGCAAAGTGGTGTCTTTCATAAAACAAACCCGTAAAAGGATGAGAAGCTTTCCCATGGGTCGCTCCGTCTGCAGAGCGTTTGAAGCAGGCAGCGCGCTGAGTTACTCTGCATCTGGGCATCTGAGTTTTGCGATGCTTTCAGAGAGCCGAGGAATTTGTGTATCTTGTGTCTTTTGGGGGCTCCACTCTTCCGAAGGGCGTGCGTTTGCTGCAGCTGCAGCAGGGGCAGCGGCGAGGGGGGGGGTGGGAGCCGACCCGCGGGGACAGGATGAGACCTCTCCTGCGGTACGCAGCAAGCGAAGCCGGACTGGACGCTGCGCTGTTCTCTGGGCTGCCGCCCTAACGAAGCAACCTAAGCTCGGTGACTCCAGCACGGTGTGGTTAACCCAATTGCCTCCGTCAGAAATCTTGGTTTTCTTTCAGGGCTGGCTGTGAAATACGGTGGATGGGTCGCTGGTGCAAAGCAGAATTCAGGGTGATGGTGGTCTGGGCATTGGCTGGGAGAGGGAGCGTGGTGCCGCAGGGAAGGACCGCTTCTCTGTCCCTTCTTTGGTCTGCCCTTCCCAAATAAGAGATTAATTCCTGACACCGCAAGCAATAGTTTCTTGTCTTACCGATTCCCTTTCCCTGACGAGCTGGGGGGGGCTTTTTATGGTTTGCCTATTGCAAAGGAACGGTTGGGGCTGTCTGTGAAGAAGTTACTTTGGCTTTCTAAATCTTACATAGCTTAACAAAAGAGCTCAATATAAAGCTGTGAATTCACTTTTTTTTTTCAAGCTCCTCTAGGCACATTTTGGCCTCAAAGTTGGTTTTCCCTTTCTGGTTCCTAATCCATGCCTTCCTGGGGAGCCAGGTAACTTCAGCTGGCAAGCACAGAGGCAGGACTGCCTTTTAGGACTCTCTAGAAAGAATAAAAACAAAAGGCTCGGTATGGATCCCAACCTTGTGCCTTTGTTGGGTTTACTCTCTTTTTAAGGCTTTAATCTCATTTTGGAGAATTATTGGGATGCAGGGAGCTATATACATAAATCCTTTCAAAATAACTTATCTCTGCTGAGACCAGAGTGTGACTTTGAAGGGATTATCAGGGAGCTTTACACCACCTCCGTCTGAATTCATTGGTCTGCTTTGGATTTTAAGCAGCAAGTTTTTGAAGCTGTGGGAAACATGAATTAGGTTTCAGGAAAGTATTTGCCATGTTAAAATCACCGACCATTACTGTAAATACGGTCATTGGTGGAAAACAGCATGGGCATAATTATATGGGGGGGGGAGTTTTTTAGGTCAAAAAATGAAAGGGTGTTTTTGCAGCTGAAACTTCTGAGAGGTTTAAGATAAGCATTTGCCAGCATTAGTTTTGTTCCACCTTGCATCTCATGAGAGGCGCTCTTAACGATGACAAGGTGGGCAGTGTTTTCTTGGCTTAATGTTCTTTCCAAAATGAAGGGCTTTTCCTCCCACAGTGGGGCTGGGAGTCGGTGTCGTGCAGTTTGTGGTGGATGGAATGGCTGGTATGGTTTCAACTGTAATTTTTTTTTTTTCCTCCTGTCTGGGAATCCTGTTTTACCTGTGGCTTTCCTTCTGCCAGTGGCTTAGAGCATTGCCGCCTTCAGCCGGGTCAGACCACCCCTCTCCCCCTCCCTTGTTCCACCAACGCTGGGGTTTTTTCTGCTTGTCTCCACTCTAATAGTTTATCCTTTTAATGAGAGAAGGCTGCAAGTTATTCTTTCTGAGTGAGATAAGACCTTGCGAGCTCTATTTTATCTAACCAAGACTGGGAAATCGTTTGCCCTTATTTGTATTAAACAGATGTATATACTTTACCGCAAGTCGTTAGTGCTATAAAGAGATTGCCTTCCTATTGATAGCCTAGATGGGGGAATTCAGGAGTAAATTGCCAATAAATAAAGAGTGTGCTTGTAAGCGCTATTGATTCTCTCTGAGCCACAGAGAAGTGTTTTGTTAGTAAAACTCTTCCTGAATGTGCAAGTGAGGTTAAAAAAAAAGCAATTAGTGATTACTGAAAGCAGGGTGAGGGGAGTGGGGGGGCGACTTGGGGTGAGAAGCTTCCGTGGTTTTTCTTTGAAGAGTGCAGTGTGTAAAGATAGCTGCTAAAAATGTAAGGGCAATTCTTCTGGCCACCCTCAGAAATCCTGGAGGCAATCGTTAGAAGACTGAAGGATCAGCCCGGCATCTCCTGTAACACGTAACTTCGGGGTGGTAGGAGGGTTTCCCAAATCGCCATGGAAGGAATAGAAGGTGCCATTTGTGTAGGAAATGAAAGATTGGTGGGATTCAAATTCCTTTTGTCCTGTCTGGGTTTTGGGACAGTCTGGAAATGACTTCTCTGAGCTGTTTGGGCAATGCTTCAATGCCTGCTGGTGCCCAATTCGGGAGCAGGCAGGGAGGAGACCAGAGTGTGGTCATAAGCGGAAGGACAGCAGCGTCCTTCCAGTGGGAGCTGGAGGAAGGGTCTGTGGCTACTATAAGCACGATGCTTGCGCTCTCTTGTGTGTGTCTTCCATATTTATCCAGCTTGATGAAAATCAGCAGTATTTGCAGAGCTGTCTTTCTAGAAAAGACAGCAGGACAGACCTGGGTGGGCAATAGGACAAAGCTCTGCTGCAGTGGTATTCCCTGCTGAAACCACATTCAGCGGTATGATCCCCATCACCTTCAGTGCAGGTATTCCATGATGTGATTGGTACTCGTCAGCTTTCCGACAGGCCATTCCTTTGAGAGTATCTCAGTAGAGTAAGTGTGATTATAACCTTACTTTGGCAAACCTTTTAATTGTGGTTGATTAGAGGATTCTCCTGGTGCTTTGTTGATCTTCCTCACATTTATTTAAGGAAGATACAAAGCAATGATAAATGCTGGGCAGATAGCGACCGTTAGTTCTACGACAGACAGTACTGGCATTGCCCTGAATGTGGAGAAACAGCAGCTAAATAAAATTCATTTTACATGGCTACTCTTAGTAACAAAAAGATTTTACTGGTCTGATGCATATTAAAGATGTCCTACATCTTCAGGGAACTGATTTCTTCAGACTAAATTTCTTCTGTAAGAGTAGAAATGCAATTCGTCACCAGAGATTGAACACCAGGAATATATTTGACGGCCTTTGGAAGGCTTGTTAAAAATGGCAGGATGAATTCAGAGAGTTTCGGGTTATATGACAAATTTATCACACACTGCTCTGTTTATGCATTTTTCCTCACCATTAAGCCATGTAACACATGAACGTATTTAAGAAATGATACAGTATCTTCTTTTTTAAAAAAACCTGTATATCTCGGCTTTTGTTCTTAAAAGTTCTTATTCATTAGAATTGATTTCATAGAATTTCATAGAATTTCATAGAATTCATTTCATATTCATAGAATTCATATTCAAAGAATTCATTACCTCTTCTCTCTTCTGGTTTTATCTTCTTTTCTAGATCTCTTTCCTTCCATCCACATTTGTTCCTGTAATCAGTGATGATGTTGTTTAAGTTTTCTGTGGGAGATTTGTTAGATTTCTTCCACAGGTATTTAAAACTGAACAGACAATGCTTTTGAAAAACCAGGAGTTGCCATAACACTCAAGCGAAAAGCCTTCCTTGGAAACAAAACTGCTCATGCTGTGCTTCGCCTGCCTAGAGAACCTTATTCCATATTTGTCCAGTCTGCTGAAAATTCGTATTATTTACAGAGCTGCCTTTCTAGAAAAGACAACAGGACAGAACTGAATTTACACCACCTGAGGGCACTGTAATACTGTGTCACTTCATTTTAAAGAAAAATACAGAAGGGTAGTGTTTGAAATGGTCCCTGTTTTTCTTCCTCTTAGGATTACTATCCACTTCTAGAACAAGTGTCCACTGAAATGAATGCAGATCATTTGAAAAACCCAGATTTGGTGTTGTAGGCAGGTATTTCAGAATCAAGGTCGTCCTTCTCTCGTGCCGCTGATGTTGTTCCCTTGTGCTCACTGTAGGGTGATGGTAATTTTAAACCCGACGCTGCTATTTTAAGTGATGTGTTACCAGTGTGGCAGTGATTGCTGTGCGCCTGGTTGTGCTGCGCTTTTAGGTGCTTACATTTGCTGCCTCTTGTCTGCGTCCAGAGGAGTGCGGGGCTGATGTCAAAGCAGCAAATGGTGATGATGTGTTCATGTATTTATGCCACTTCACTAGAATGTGACAAAGTGGGAAGGGAGAGGAGTAAAAAGCCCCCTACACGGACACTCCTGATTCGGGTTCCTCTCTCTGTCTTGCCAGGTTCGCCTCTGCCTCTTGTCTCTTCCTACGCGGCCATCCCTCTCTTTTCCTTCTGCTTTACTGTTCTTCTTTCTCTGTCTCCTCTCTCATCACTTGATTTCACCATCCCGTTATTTTCCCTACCCCCTAGCGCGTGGGGAGGGTCACCAAGCAGAGTTCAAAGGAGGGGGGCTCTGTGCAGGACAAGAGGCAGATGAGCCTCCCGCACCGGGCAGCCCCCGGCACCGGGCAGCGTGCTCCTCGTTCGACCGGGGCGTGCCTGAACTCTTCTAATACGTGTCCACTTAAAAGCACATCCTGGAGCCTTTTTGTTCTGTTTGTGCAGCATGAAACACAGTGAAACCTTCACGTCAGAAACCATACAGTATTTATAATTTTGTTAGAATAACAACCAAGTGTGCTCCCTCCAGACAAAACCGCACGACTGCTTGCTGAACTGAGTGCGGGAGGTTTCCATGGCTCTCTTCCGAGGAAAAAGGCCAGCAAATGCGTTCTCGTCCACACTGGCTTCCTAAAACATGCATCCACTTCCACGATGGGAAATGCTGCTGTGATTTGTGCATTTAGCCTTTGTTTTAGAGCGTAGCATCTCCAAGTGCTCGTTTGAGAGCAAGTCATCAGTCAAAGTAACGGCGTTCAAGGAATGAAGAGCTGCATTCTCCTAGGGACAGCCCAAGCGGTTAACGTGGTCCTGTGATGTTAGCAACACTGTATTCCATTTAGTTTGGTTGTTCTACTAATCCAGGAGTGCATTTGGGAGTAGTTCTATAGATCATATATTCCCCAATGAACCATCTGGACTGACCCAAGTAATACTTTTAATTTGGGCGTGCTGATTGGATTGACAAAGGAATGCTACTGCTTCTTTTGCACTTGAGGCCAGAAGTGAATGAGCTTGACTGTTCTTTTCATAACGGGATTTCTTGGTAGTGCTAGTGGAAAATAAAAAGTCATGTCCAATAAAGTAGTTTTAAAAATATGCTGGAATGACTCATATTGAGGAATTATCCTGTGTTAAAGAAAAATGTAAGTAATTAAAGGAGTTAGAGTTGCATATTTAAACAGAACTCTACCCTTAAAAGTCATGGTGTGAACCCCATATTAGGGACAAGAAGAGCTACGTGTTTATTTAACATATCTAAGCTCTTCCAATAAAGTAATTCCAATAAACTGGAAAAATACAAGAATATCTTGTATAAGTAGTCCTGTTGGTTCATATGCTTAAAGTTAGCTTTATAGGTACTTAAGTGTCTTGAAGTGGTGACACGAGATTAACTTCTCACAGAGGCTTTCCTTCCTTGAAGTCTGATCAGTCCAGTATGTTGTTTTCTCACATTAAGGTCATCAATAAGAGCTATGGCTTCTGCATTCCTGGAAGCTGAGTAGCAAGTTCGTTTTTGTGCTGGTGGGAGACTGGTTGGTTTTGGAGTGGCCCCTGCTGTGCTGTGAAACACGAACGAGACGGGTGGAAGGAGGGCTGTGCCTCGCCTGAGCGTCCCGTGGAAGCGGAGGCGCGGCGTGCGTGCTCCGGGGAGCGGGGGTGCCGTGGCTGGAGGGCGGTTGCCTGCCCAGCCTCAGTTCCCCCTCTGAAATGCTGAAAGGCTGGGAAGAAGATGAATAAGAGTGTTTTGAGGATCTCTGCGTCATCTAAAAAGTTGTGCATTTTATCTCGGGGGCCTGAGATGGAGCTTACAGGTGAGAACTCCCTGGCAGAAGGTTTGCTAGTGGTTCAGTGGCTTTAGATGTTGGCTTTGGGTTTTTAACTTTCAGGCTTGAGGGTTTGATGCTTTAGTCTTTAGTTTTGCCTCAGTGTAGTTGGAAATTGCACTATAGCGTCATTTATGGGGTTCAACATAGAAATAAACTAAAACTATGAGCCAAGGGTACACTTGCTCATAAAAATCACATGGAAGATGTGGAGAGAATATAATCACAGAAGGCAGGCAGGGGAACCAAGGTTGGATTGCTTGTACCAGGAAGGCAGTAGCCACAGACATTCCGCCATGCTTGCTAAAAATAAAACCTCAGCTTTTCATAAGCAGACGTTTGTTCATACAGTGGCAGGCATTGATGCAAACGAGAGATCCAAACCCTTTTGCAAAGCTCTAGAGAACGGTGGCTGAGAATAGGAAATACGAAGTTAAAGATGCAGTGACATAAGGGTCCCTTCTCCTTTAATCTTATTTCTCAGCTCCAAAAAAGCTTTTTAAGAGGAAACACTCCATGTTCCATAGCAAGTATTTGTTGAATGAAATAAATGTTAATGCAGTTTGATTCCTAGCAGGTTTTCCCATATGGGATATGAGCAAGCCTTTGCCTGGTGATACGGTATCAGCATGGGACGTAACTTCTTCCCCCACATGTACACTCTGTATGTAAAGTCACGAGGCTTAACTTCACTCCGACACAATCTAACATGTGCTTTCTATCCTCTCTTATGCCAAATGACCAATACCTCATTTTTTTTTTCTTGCTGACATTAATTTTTGTGTATTTGACATCCAATTTGCCAAATGAATGATGACAGTAATCCTTTCTTCTGTACTGTTGCTTCACCTTATTCCACATTATGTATTCAGGTTTTCTGGGGTCATTCTCCCCCCCCCTCCCCCCCGACACCCCTTGTTTCGTGGTCTGCAAAGTTGAAGGATTGCATTTATTTATACTGATTAAAATAACTCTGAATAGTTTTATGTTCATTTAAGTTCAGATAAACTGAATCGCAAATATTAAATATGTCTTGTAACCGCTTATGCAGAACATAAGGACTCTTTAATTGTCGACGGTATAGAAAAACTCTGTATGATGAAGGTTGAAGGAGCAAGGTGACCAACAGAATCTGTCACGAGAACAGGGGTTAAAAGTCTAAGGAGCAGTAGTTACAAGATGATATGGAAAGGGGGGTTCAAAAGGACCTTCTCAAAGGAAGGGAAGAGTGTGGAACGATTTTATGTTATTTTTTTTTTCCAAACACAAACATTTAGAAAATGGCTACTTCAATAGGAAAGGCAATTAGAATGGCAAACGAGACATCTGTAAATGCAAGGAAGGCGAAAAACTTAATGCATTTTGAAGGGGGAAAAAAAATCTGTTTCTGTAAAGACAGTGTTTCTCTTGAAATACATGAGATAATATCCTGATTTATCCCCAGGACAGCATCAAGTGGAAGGTGACAGGTAGCTCACCTGCTTAGCGCAGGTGATACAGAAAGCGAAACGCCTTGCTAAGTGCATGCACACCCAGCGTGGTGCAGGGGAGGAACTTGTGCTGCCCGGAGCCCGCCGGTCTGCCCAGGCCAGTCCCGAGCTGGGAGTCACGGAACCGTGCTAGTGCCGAGTCGGACGAGCTCCCGGGAGATGGGCTTGCTCGTCCTCTGTCACATGGCATAACGTGGTGGGCTTGTTCCACGAGCTGCTTTGTGCGGGACCTCGGTCTTACCCTGCCTGTTCTGAGGGGGCGTTTGTTTTGTTGATGGCAGCCTGTGCTTCTTGCATCTCCCCGTGGTCACGTGTGAAGGTGATGTGCTGGGGTGCCATACTTCTGACAGAAAAGACAGCGAGATGGGGGCAGTTGCCTTTGTACGGCAAATTCGCCTAGTTCAGCCTGCATCCGTGCACAGGAAAGGCCAATCTCTCCCTCAAGGCATGGTCTCTCTGCTTTTCTCCCCAAAGCACCCATTAACAGAGGCATGGTGGGACTTCATGCGCAGGGTGTCCCAGGCAGTCTGAGTCTGTCTGCAAGCTTTCTACACGCATTCTGAAGCGGTCCTTGCAATTACTGATGGTTTGAACCTGAAGGAGTGCTTAGCAGGCTTCCACTACAGTTTCCCAATCTGTGGCTCTTGGCGGCTGGTGACCAGCTCTGAGAGCTGCTGGCAGTCACTCTCCGAACCTTCCAACCCCCCGCTGGGTGCCGGGGCCCGTAGCGAGTGCTGCGATCTGTGTCATTCCCACAGCAAGGGAGAGGTGGTGGCAGCGGTTCTTCGGTGCGTTCTTAACAATTCCCTGCATCCCATTTCCTCTGTTAAAGCCCCGACTTAATGGGACTCGATTTTGGTGAAGGAATGTAATGGCATTTGGATCAGCCTAATCCTTCCTGTTTACAGGCTGCAAGAGATGCTAGCTTTTTATTTAGGGCTACAATAAATACCCTGGTTTAAAAAAATGAACTCCGACCAATCTGATGCATACAGGAATATATGTCTAGGGAGAGGTTTATGCTGGGAGAGAGAGTCACTGAGCTGAGAAGTGACTGTTCATTCTTCACGGGGCGCTATGCGTGATGCACAGGTGACAGACGGGCTGGTTTATATAGTACCTTAAACTCAGTAAAGCAGGCTATGGTTTTCTCTTAGAATGGTATCCCAGAACATTCCACTTTCTTCTCATAAGTTCTCAGCAATAAATGCTCTTTCTATTCCAGTACAACTACAAAAATAAAATTTATTAGCTAAAACCTAATTCAGGTGGACAAAAGAGTACATAAAAGATGCTATGCCGTCAGAAAACTCCAATCATAGGCAATTATAAGCTAGATGGAAGATGGGAAAAGTAATTGTGATTGACTAATTCTCTGGAAATATGTGCTTCAGCTTCAGTGTAATACAGTGCATGGATCAGTGATTTCAAATAATGAAATGATTGGGATATAGGGATAAGCCCCATTCCATTGTTAGTGAAGTCTATTTTAATGGCTTCATCCATATGGAGTGACTTTATGTATATAATAATTAAATAATACCGTAGTAGTGTTGATAGAAACTGGCAGCCAATACTTAAAAGTTGCTCTGTTCTTGCTGTAAGTGCATAACTTCAGCTGCCCGATCACTGGAATGGTGGTGTAACTTTGGGTGTCTCTTGCCTCTTTTTTTCTTTTTTAACTGTGTTTTTTCTGATAACGACTGCTATTGCAGAAAGAGGTGAAGTTATCCTTGTATCTGCCCGGCTTGTCGGTACGTGGGATTGCATTAGATGAAAGGCACCGTGAAGTTAACGATTATTATGGTCAGCTTTTTGTTCGTATCGTGCCATGGCAGTTTGGGCCTCTGACGCAGCAGTGGTGCCAGCGTGTGACGTCAGGCGCCCGGGAATGACGTCGGGGAGGGGAGGGGAGGGAAAGGGAGACCCACTCAGGTAGGTGCGCGCAGTTGCTGTCCGTGGGCGCTGATGGTGTGGGCGCCTGCAGAGCGATGGGATCGGTGTAACCTTCGGTGGGGACAAGGAGGCAGCTGCCTTTTTTCCTCTGGTGTTGATTTTTGTGACACTAATGTACAGGCTGCTAATGGGGAAAAAGTGTTTGGAGGAAATTTGTTCGGTGGCACACGACTATAAAATAAAACCAGAAGTTTGTCAGAGAGCTGATGTATAAAACCCAAGGCTAAAATCAAAAAAGAAACCCTGGACATACTTTGGAAAGAAGAAAGGTGGGGGTAGAGGGAAAGCTGAATGAGGGCACAAAGCATGGCACATTGGAAAACAGCAGGCAGCAATGTTTTCCCACTAAAAGAAAACGTAAAAGGTTTTTTTTTGAGCCAAAGCTCAAATCTGTGATCTGAAACCTTGAAGAAGAAAGGGCTTCTTTCAGCACTGACTGTCCACGCTGGGTCTTGACTGACTGCCCATGCTGGGGCCCGTTCCTGCAGCTCCGCAGCGCCGTTCCTGCCCAGCCCCACAGGACTCACGGACGCGGCCGAGGCTGCGCCCCTGCGAGTGCTGGCAGGTTGCCCCGGCTCACCCCGCCTGCGTGAGCATCCCCGTGCGAGCCGGGGGCCTGGCACAGACGCAGCTCTGTACCTGCCTTTATGCAATACCCTCTTTTTGGCGTAAGATCAATGTCATCAATATTTACTAGCATTTGTGTTTGGGTAGGTAGGCCTGAGCTGCTGACAAAAGCAAACGTGCAGCTGGTATTTTCCCATAAATCATGTCCCGCTGTTGGAATATTCTTGAAGAGGAGAGTTAAAATTGTTTTTTCTTTTTTTTTAAATCAGCAGTGAAGGTTAAAAGCAGCTTCTGCTCTGTACCTTTCCTTGTCAAAGATAATGAGCTTTGTTTGCACTCCCTTGCAGCCCGAGTCTTTATTTCCCTTTGTAAAATGCGATGGTGCAGTTACGGTTTGGCTTTCGGAAGGTGTTGCACAAAGTGGAAGGCTTGGCAAGCAGGTCCATTAGTTTTGTGTTACTGTCCGGGTTTCGGCTGGGATAGAGTTAATGTTCTTCCTAGTAACTGGCATAGGGCTGTGGTTTGGATTGGGGATGGGAAGAAGCTGGTAACAAACTGATGGTTTAGCTGTTGCTAACCAGTGCCTGGACTGGTCAAGGACCTTTTTTGTTCAGGTTCCCCTGCTCTGCCAGGGGCACAAGGAGCTGGGAGGGGGCATGGCCAGGACAGCCGACCCCAACTGGCCCCAGGGCTATCCCAGACCATAGGGCCTCATGCCCAGTATAGAAACTGGGGGGACTGGGCTGGGGGGCAGCGATCGCTGCTTGAGGGGACGGGCTGGGCATCAGTCAGTGGGGGGTGAGCAGTTGCTCTGTGCAGCACTTGTTTTGTGTATTCTGTATAGTCTATTATTACTTTTTTCCTTGGCTGTTTTATAAAACTGTCTTTATCTCAATCCATGGTTTTTACCTTTTTTGCTGATTCTCTCCTCCATCCCACTCGGGGCGGGGGGGGAGTGAGCAAGCGACTGTGTGGTGTGCAGCCGCCCGCAGCGTTAAACCACAGCAGTGAAAGTTCAGTCTGCTGGAATATTCTTGATCATATACGTGTGTGCGATGGCAGTTTGTTGGAACTATGAGCTGCCAGCACTGTGCAGTACCTTTTTACTTAAAAATATAAACGCACAGGATTGAACAACAAGACGGGCATTTGTGTAGCTTCATCTGGCTTGCAAGAACTGTGGATTTTAACAGTATGCATACCATGTCGTATTAAAATATAATCAGATTAAACCAGGCAAGCAAAACACTTTATTTCACATGATTTGCTTCCCTCTTCTATAATCCCGTCATAAATACTTCAAGAAGTCCGTAACTACTTCACGCGGAATGAAGAGAATATTTTTCTAACGATTTGGAGGCTGCACGCAGGGGTTCGTACGGGACTTTGGTTTCCTGAGAGCCCGCTGGAGCTGCACAGGATGGGACCTCAGCCCAGCCGGGGACACCCCTGCGCATCCCTGCAGCCCCCGACTCGGTCCCGCCGCCTTACGGAGCTGGCAGCTGGAGCCCGTGCGTGTGTGTCTCATCCACAATTTTGCAGTAATGCCTAAGCTTCATTTGGGCACTATAATGAGCAGCCTGCGAGAGAAGTGGCTGCTCGTGGAGCCATCGCTCCTCGGTAGCTGTCCCCATCCATGCTGTTACCAAAAGCACGAGGGTTGGCAGGGGGTGTTGGGGTGGGAGATTCATCCCCTTCCCCGCACTGGGACGTGAGCAAGCAGGCGTGTGATGGGTGTGTGGGTAGCAGCTCGTTATCCCATATGCGCACCCTGGACGTAGAACGATTAACCATTAAAGTACTGTTCATTGCCTGTCGCTACATCTGTACCGCTCAACCGCGTGGGCCAGGGCACAGACTTGAGCACCAGCACGCAAACATCCGCGTGCCTGTTCGTGAGCCTGTTCTGACGTGATTTGGGTTGGATTAGGCCATGCAGACCAGGCACGGCATGGGCTGTTCCTGGCCAGCAGCACAGACAAGCCTTCCTGCCCTGGGGAGGGAGAGGGCTTTGCTTATGGACAGATCTGCCTGTGACACTTGCACGAGCCCTGTCCCAAATCTAGACTCTTTTTTTTAGAGCAGCATACACTTAAGATTCAGGTTCTGATGCCTACAAAATGCAAATAATAAAGAAATAAAATAATGACCACCAAATAAGCCACATGCTCAGCACAAGCTATGGATTTCTGAACTGTAGCCAAAAGTACTTGGCATCCTGGATCCAAGATTTTGTCTTGGCTCAGTTTTATTGGGAAGAGCAGCAGAGAGGGACTTGAACAAACATCTCTCATTCAAAGACCTTGAGCTCTCAGGGGTATTGGGCCTTGGAGTCAAATATCATGGTATAAGCCCATTTCTAAGGGAACCAAGAATGACTTCCCAGCGCTGGTCTAGTCTGGTGCCCTCTGTAGCTGCAGATGCCACTGGCATTCTGAGCCATGTTTGCTTCCTCGCCTCCACAGGCACCATGAGAATGTTAAAATGCCTGTATGGACTCCCTGCATCTCTGCTTGGTTTGGCAAATGGAGCGGATCATGGTCACAGGGACTTTGCCATAAAAATTAAGTGTTGAAGAAATCAAGTTACAGGTATAAACAGAAGATATTTGGTGTTCGGGTGGTTTCTGGGATTTTTACTCTGGTTCTGTTGGGCACCTAGTTGATCGATGAACTTGTGAGCTAAACACTCCTGAGCTTGCAGGGACTTGTGTAATGTAGAACTGACTGCAGTGCTCACATAAATCTTCATGAAACCAATTTTAAAACCTCATACCTTTTATTGGTTTGCAAATGCAAAGCTGCAAGTTGTATCCCGGCCGTAATTTCTTCAAAGATTTGGTCTCAGGCTAATACCAAGGTTGGGGCAAGTGCCATGTACCGTCTTCAGGGACTGCAGAATAGACAAAAGGTGTCTGATGTGTCTATCAACAAACCTTTTTTAAATAATGGTTGTTAAGCCTAAAGATTCTCATGTACATGATCCTCCTCCTGATAGTAGGATCTCCCACACAGTTAAGTCCTCTTTCTACTGAGTGAGGATTTCACAGTAGAAAAATCCTCTTAAATAAGAAATATCATGTGAACCGTTTTTTTTACTTTGAACCCCCGGTGAATATGCCGGATAACAATTCACACTGATCTTTCGGGGAATATACGATTTCCGAGAAAAAGCAAACCACTGAAGTGTTCTCTTGCTCATTATAGCAGCATAGTGCCGGCTCTTCCAGTGCCCGTTGGCTTTACTGCTTGTTGTTAAAACAACGATTTCTTTTACTGGAGCGCTAATGGATTTAGTATCATGTGAAAGCAAGTGGGTGAAAAACTCAAAAATCTGTGGAAAAACTTTCACAGTGACCGCAAAATCATTTCAGTCAGAGTCAGGAAAAGTGTGAAATCATTGCCTTTTACTTACCTGCTTTTATGCAGTGCCCAACGAACTGGATTTAACTGTGCTTTGCAAAACACTGGGCTATCATAAATTAAACAAAGTCTTACCTGTACGGATGAGGCCCCAAACTGCAAGATATTGTTAACGTGTCTTAAGTAAATACAGCCTGCTGACAAATTATTTCCTTTCTGATGCTCAGTATGTGCCCTTTTTTATTTGAATTCGTTTCTTATATGTTAATAGAACGTGTTTTGTTTAGCAACCAGCCTTGTTATGTATTGCTGGTTACTGAAATTCCTGCAGCTATGCTGGTATCTTTCCCAGCATAGAACACCTCCTTTGTACACAGCTTTTATCTTTCGACAAAAGAAAGTCTCCACTCCTGTTCTTTTAATGAGCAAGGGAGCAAAATAATTCCTCCAAGTCACTCAAAAGGGCAAGGACAAAATTTTTCCATTATGATAGTTCAGTGATTTCTGAGAACTGACTTCAAATGTGCAATTGCTGGCATTTGGTAACTGTGAGAAAATAAAACGGCAGCTAAAAAAAAAAAAAGGAGAAAAGGATGGAGGGAATAGTTTAAAAACCCCCATGTGCCAGCGTCTGGAGGACTCTGTACAGGCACACTCACAAACCGGCCACCTAGAAATGCAGCTTCAGAGACCCAGCCTGATCAACTGGAAAAGCCCACTTCACATTTTTTGCATTGGCTCTTGGATGTTCGGGCTGGTTTTTAGACAAAATATCCTCCCATAGAAGCTTCTGGACAGGTTATTTGACTGCACTTTGCAGTATCGTTACGATACGGCGCTGCAGAGGAGTAAGCACTCGCTCCTCCGCTCCCACTTCTGAAATAACGCTCCAAATGGTTTGGGTTTAGTCGGGCAGCAGGAGGAGAATATTTGTCTAAATTTCCACAAGTTTATCTAATAGAAAACCCATTTCCTACACTCAAGTTTCAACAGGTTCTAAAAGAATGCGGGCCTGTATTGAGAGTAGGTAAATGAGATTAATTACTGCAGTCCTGTAGCAGGGTTCTCAAGCAAAGGCTTTCCTTGAACCTCCCAGGCATAAAAAGCTTAAATGTAGCCCCATAATAAAATGGCTTTATAACTCTTATAATTAATGTGAAGCAGTATCTAATTTTTTAATTCTTAGATTAAAAAAAAATAAGAAAAAATCTTTACAGTAAGGGTTGTCAAGCACAGGAACAAGTTGCCCTGAGAGGTTGTGGCATCTCTATCGCTGGAGACGTTCAGAGCCTGACTGGATGGGGTCCCGAACACCCCGGCTTTGAGCTCCCCAGAGGGCCCTGCCAGCCTCAGCCCTTGTGTGTTTCTGTGATTAATTGGACTCAGCAAAAGCGTATTTGCTTGTGTGATCTGGCAGTTATAGTTTCTAGATTTGTAATGCAATCTGTAATCGTCTCTATGCATAAATCACCATAATTTCTAATTTAAACTAAGGGCTCGTGCATTCTCTTCAGCTTCTCCCCTACTGCAGTCAGAACAAAATGTGGTCTTGCTGTATGTGTTTTTGAAAATACTGTAGTGAAGTATGATCTTACATTCCTTCTAGAGAAATGCAATGGGAATGGTGTTATCAAATATAGGACATTGAAAGATTAACACAAATACACGTAATTCCAAAGTCATTCATAGACCTCATTTGCTGCTGAGATTTTTAATATCCTATTTAAAAAAAAAGCAGCACAGCTCAGAATTGGCAAGACTGATATATACCTGACACGTTTAAGATTTTACTCTGCTTTATAATTGGTGATTTCCCCTCAAGCCTTTCACTGGCCCGCTCCCCTCCTCCGCGCCAGCAGCGTCCCCCTGCCCGCCAGCCCGAGGAGCGCTTGCTGTCGGCGCGTCCCCTGCGCCCGGTCCTTCCTGGAGCAGGGCACCCCACGGTCACGCGTGGGCCTTGCAGAGGTTCATTTTTATCCAAAAATGGGATAAAAATAAAGGGCGGCTGGGGTTTCCCAAGGGCAGCTCTCCCCTGCTGCTGCCTCCTGGGTGGCACGGGCACGTGCAACCACAAGGTCCCTGCAGAAAGACTCGGGCCAGATCCCCTGAGTTCAGAGTGGTTTAACACAATCCATAGCAGTAGGAGAAAGATGCAGCAAAGGAAAAATACCAGCTTCATCC